CTGGTATGTCACCCATAATGTTGTGTGCATTTCAAAATTTTGAGCAAAACTGTGCTCTTACCCTGCTAATTGAACCTTCACACTCTGCTCTTACTGGTGCAATGTGTAATTAATGAAAACTGGCTACCAGGCTGGTCCAATTTAGCCATGAAACCCTCCCACACTAAAAAGACAGGTGTTTCAGTTTCATTGTCCAACCCCTGTATGTACATCATACTTTTCAGATTTTAATTTGTGAAACATGCATGGTGATCTTTTGTCTGTGGACTTGTGCTGCTCCATTGCTTGAAATTCTAATAAAATACATTCAAATAACTTGAATTCATGCTGTAAATAGTGTTTGGTAATTATGAGAGGTGACAACCACTCTGTTAGTTTTGGCATTTCGGTGCACTTGAGATGTTTTTGCTGTGCTTGACGATTGTGGTTAACGCACAGATAGCCCGATTTTGTTCCCTCTAAGTTTAGTTGATATTCACACCGGGCTTCTCATCTTGAGTTTCAGTCTCTTCTGCTTTTCGATCCAAAAGTCTGTCATCATCAGCATGAAGGAATCCTGTTCTGTTACTCGATCACATCCGCTATCTGTATGACTCTCCCTATTTCCCGCTCTCCCATGGAGGCCCTGTTGAAAATGGCTGTTTAATCATGCAGAGAGGTCAACCAATCAAAGGGCACAGTCCGAGTGATTTAAAGGCCTGTTCGGAGCACAGCTGGAGGGGGAGAAAAAAGGGAAAATTATTTTTTTTTTTGGGGGGGGGGGATAGAGAGAGAGAGAATACCTCTGGTCTGTTTTAACCCATAATTATCCCTGATAGATTGTTCAAAAGGCAGGGAATGTGTTGAAAGATGCAGAGGCTCATGTTAGGGAAAGAATTGAGCATTTTAATAAGCTGACATTCTTGGAATGACATGCATGCACAGATTAAGGAGCAGCATCAACCCGCATTCTCACATTCAGCTCTGTAGTTTCCAGTCTGACCTCCCAATTCACAAGCAAAGATGCTTGTCTATCAAAGTCTATCAAAATTGAGAAACTGTGGCAAGACATGAACCATGCTGTGCACAGATGCTCTCTGTCCTATATGACTCAGCTTGAGCTATTTTGCAAAGAGAAGTGCACAAAGATTTACGTTTGTAGACTCTAACAAGCTCGTAGAGAAAACAGCAAATGTACCTGTAGCAGTAATTGCTGCGAAAGAATGCCAACATTTGAGATTTTTATGTGTAAAGATTTCACAGTTAAGCTTGTGGTTGTAATGTCACTAAGTATAGTGCAGTGCAAAAGTACACTGCACCGCTCAGTTTTGTTAAAAGCTACTTCTGAAAGAACAAAGCATAGTGAACAAATTTGGCATTAGAAATTTTAAACCAGTAAATCTGCCTAAAGAGTAACTTGATTATTCATTACAACCGTTGGTATGTTTTTCTGTCAGCTGGCCAATCATAGTCGGCTTTCAGCTGTGTCTTAAATAGCTGCCTCCTCAGTTGCATCAGAAAAGGTCAAGCAAAGTTTAAGAATGGGGCGCAAAGGTGGCGCAGGGGTAGGGCGTGCGACCTATGGGGCCTCAGTCCTCAAAGCAGCCCGTCACGGGTTCGAGTCCCGGCGTTTGCCCCATTTCCTGTCAGCTCACTTTCAAAAAAGATAATAATAATAAAGGCCACTAGTGCTGCAAAAAAAAAAAAAAAACCCACAAAGAATGCTCTTCTCATAAATTATGTCTGTCTGCATCACTTCTTCAGAATTCAGCCGTTCAGATTGTTACAGCATCGCTGCGTGTGCTTCTGATATAGCCAACGAGTTAGTGGTAGTGGAGTGCCACTCCAGCAGATAGCTGGCCTCTTCCTCGCTCTCTTACTCACACTCTTTCCCCCTCCTATTCTCCATGACCTTGTGTCGGCGTGTGCTGATGAGTGCTGAGTGGATACACTCATGAGTGGTGCGTGCATGCATGTGTGAGGGCTAGAGAAACCGTGGGAGCTCCATTTGTTGTGTAAATGCGAGCTGCTAATTGACTGCCGGGCACGCAGCCTCTCCTTCAGCGGCTGAACCCTGCTCTCCGCCCGGTCCTGGGGATCCTGCCAGGGGAATGTTTGCCCCTTCTCACACACAAACACATCAATGCACGCTCTCAGCAGCCTCCCTTTCTCTGTTTTTTCCTCTGCTGGAGCAAGCCTGGCACGGGGCCAGAGTGAGGATGGGCAAAGCGCAGGGCTTCTCTGTTCTCTTTCTGTGATGAGGCTTCATAATGGAAAAAATACTCATCATTTACCCAGAGCACCACAATAGTTTTTTTTTTTTTTTATTCTCACAAAAAACACTATTTTCTCAAGAGCACATTCCTTCCTAGAGATCTTATTAGTGTTTGTTTTCGTGGGAGACACGCCAAGTACGAAAAGGCAAAAAAAAAAAAACAGCTATTCATGTGGTTACCATATTAACCACATAAATATTAACATTTCTATGTTTGTGTCTGTTAGCGAAGGAAGAGCACTTTTGTTTAATGTAGTGGTGTTGTCTGTTGAGAGAAAAGTTTTAAGCATCTGTTTAAAAAAAAACCTGTCCTTGAGGGCCCTGCACCTGAATAAAATGTCAGACTTTTTAGCATGCAATCAGGTTCTACCAAGTCCTGCCAGTGACCTTCAGATGTGTTGAAGTGGAGACACGTCTAAAGTTGCAGAACAGTAGCCTTCGAGGACTGGAATTTGAGACCTCAGCTATTAACTATAAACGTATCCACTTTTAACTATATCCCATGATGCTGTGGGCTTTCTTTAATGAATTGAAAGGAACAAGTAAACAGTTTTAAGTGATTGCTTTAAATGTAGATGCGCATTTGTCTTTTCTCCTTGTTTGCTGATAATCATTGGAAAGCAATCCAGTGATTGCAATAATAATTCTGTTTCACTTTGGGTGCATATTACATCCACGCATTAGACTTTGTCTGATTAAGTGTGCAGCAGCAAACAGCACAACAAGTGGTCATGCTGGCCATGCAAAGCTCAAATATGTCCGCAAGTGTGTGATTATCAAATTAGACAAAATAAAGTGCTAAACTCAGTTGTGTTGCTTTCAAACTAAACTAACCTCACATAGACATGAGAGACCCCTTAAGAGATTAAATATAAATCCAAGCATAGCTGCTTAGTTTCAAAGCTAGATTTATATTCGTGGCTCAGTGATGGACCATATCAATGTTAGCCTCAGTTGGTAACTCCACGTGAGACATGTAGCCCAACTGTTGGCTGGCGAGACGCCCAGATCTTACGCCCAGATCTTGCACCCACACACAGAGAGACTGACACATGCTGCTCAGCTGGAAGAGTCATATTTTTCTCTTTTCAGAAGCTATAGGTACCAACATGGCACAGTCACATTGCCCTGGTCTAATGC